GAATGACCAATTCAGTTTTCCTGATAAGCAACTGTTCAGACTTGTGTTGTTCTATAGATAAGATGTTGATTGGCAACAGAAATGCATCTGATATGTCCTCCTGAATAATATACCACACAAAAACAAGCAGTGTGGCCTTCTTGTCAACACTGGTAGACTTGTCAACCTGGACTGAGCGACTCACTGATCCTCTCTAATAATGTTCCTCAATATCCCCTGTTATTTCATCAATTCCAGTTATGGTGCAGTTTGAAAGAAGAACATGTGTCTCCTTTTGAATGGCAGCCTAAAAGTTCATGACAAATGTCCATAGCAGCAGGCAGGATCATCTCTTTACTAACAACAAAGTGCTTCTTAGCTTTAGCAACACATTTAGCCACTTTAAGAATGATACTCTTAATGTAGACACATTTGATGAAGCGGGGGCCTACAATTATTGCTTCTGTTTTTCATGTTCACTTTTTTCTTTTCCTTCTGGAAACAGCAAAGCCTTGTATTTGGGGGGGGGGGGGGTACCGGGGATCAAACTCGGGTCCTTGTGTTTGCACAGCAGGCATTGAAACCACTGAGCTAAATCCTCGGCCCCAAAGCCTTGTCTTTTAATGCATGGTGTTTGGTCTCAGTGTGGCCAAGTACTGTAATTTTGAAGGTTTCATGGCCTAGCCAGTTGCAGAGCCAGTTGCTACATATTACAAAAAGTGGGCTTGGAGAAAGTGAATTTACCTATTGCAATAAACTTATACTTTAAATAGGACTCTTGGTATTTTCTTCTAATTGCAGCTTTATTTTGTTGGCAGGATTAGAATCTTCTGTTATCTCATCATTGAGTCTTTCCTCTTTTTCAAAAAAGCTCTCCAGTGACATTTGTCTGTTATTCATTTTGACGAGGGTTAGCTTGTGGGCTTACCAAAACTGACTGAGATAACTGTACAGTGTGAATAAGAGGGACAGATAAAAGTTGTAAATAAAATGATGTGAAAATTTAGGTTAAGAGGCCTCTCTCCTTGAATTGCAGATGGCCACCTTCTCACTGTACCCTAGCCTGGTCTGTCCTCAGTGTAAGCATACTCCCAGTGGATGAGAGCCCAAATCTCCTTCCTCTTCTATGAGAACAAGTCACACTGGATTAAGGCCTACTGCAGTGGTTCTCTGTAACTAATGAGGTCCTATCTTCCAACAGAGTCAAATTCTGGGGTCTTGGGAAATAAGGCTCCAATATATGAATTTATGAAGGAAGATACAATACATCATACATGGGTTACAATACATGATAATTAGAATACATCTGATTGCTCTACATTGACTATTTAGTAAAAGCAGTATCTCATGATTTCCTACTATAACTGACTTATTTTAAATACCCCACCATCAACATAGTATCCTGTCAACTTCATTTTCATTATAAAGGCAGTAATTAGTAAAGTACATTTTAATCAAATTTTAAAATCTTACAATTAATTTGAAACAAATGAATTACTTATCTCACACAAATTATGAGACCCCAAACCTACAAACTCTACATAACACTTCCAACAAACATGATGTTAGCTATGATGTTAACTCTGCTTCAGAGGAATATAAAACTGAATTAATCACTAATACTAAATACTCAAAATATTTAACAATATTGCTGATAAATTTTAATTGGCACTTTTGGAAAGCCATAGCAAAAAGTTAAAGGAAGTCTTTGAAAACACTGCCTACCAGTTATAGTACATGAATTTGAAATTTTCAAACATTATACAGTTTCCAGGTGGCAGCCACCTGGAAATTAAGTGTTCTAAGTGCTCACAGTCGGTGAATAAAAGATAAACATTTGGTATTTAGTAAGCCATTTATCATAACTGCTAAAAATGTATGAGGAACTGGAAACCAGGAGATATATTTCAGCAAATAAATATCTGAGTCTGATCAAGGAATTGCCAGCTAACAGCATACAAATAAAGACTTAGAAGCAGAAAGAGGTGTACAAAATAAAGACTTAAAAAATTAAATAATAAGATGTCAAAGAATACTCCTGAAACTAAAAAATGTGGAAATAGAAAAAAACTGGAAATGAGCAATCAGTAAATCCAGGCCATCCACTATAGAACAGTGCTTTTTCTCTAGATTCCTTTCTCAGCAGTCCTAGGAGAGGTCCTTGTTCTATAGCAGCAGGGGTCCCACTTCTGCCCCCAGTACTTGGGATTGAACCTACAGCCTTCACACTGAGCTACATAATTAGCCCTTTTACTTTTTATTTTCAGACAGGGTCTCCCAAGTCACTGAGTTGCCCAGGCTGGGTTCAAAATAGTGATCCTCCTGCCTGAGCCAGCATAGTGCTGGGATGACAGGTATGCACCAACACACCCAGCTAGTTCTTAGGGAACAGTGTAAGGATTTCTGGGAGACCTGTGAGTTCATACACGATCACAGAATGGAATACACAGAAATTCGGGTGAGGGTCCCAGGAAGCACCAAGATAAAGCACTTGATGAAGGAGAAAAATCAGACAGCATTTCACACCACAGTGCACCCTGCCATAGATTAGCGTGAGCAGAATCTACCGACCAGCTGGGAGTTGAGGGCCGAGGCCAGTATGGTAAATGTGAGAAAGGAAATCAGAAGAGAAGAGACCAGGAAGGGCATTCTCAAGTAAATAAAATTTGGAAGGACGGGTTAAAAGAGTTCTACTTTGTGGCATACTGCACATTTGAGATGCAGACGGAATTGGTAAGAGTTATTGAATAAGTGTGAACCTTCAAAGTAAAGTCCGTGATATAAATTGTTAACTCACTAACAAAACAAATGATAGTTCCTAAGTTCTTGGGAATTGAAGAACTCACTCGAGGGGAAGTTGTAGAAAGGGAAGAAAACAAGCGAAGGGCTGGTGCTAGTTTAACAACAGCGGCAATACTGTTTGTTGAGGGTGCACAGAAGAAGAAAAACCATAAATGGTACCGAAAGTAAGTGCGGGGGGGCGGGGGGGCGTGAGGGACAAAAGACAGATGTGAATGCAGTGGACTCAGCCATGCTAACGCACAGACATTATACCCTGGACAAAGAAAAGAGAAAATTTCTGGCATAGTAATCACCAAATACTTATTAAAGGAATGAGTGAATCGCTGACTGGATTAGCATGGCATTTCTAGAATTCAGAGTTAACTACAGAGGAGAAATACATGATACAGTGGTGACAATCCTAAAATAAGGCTGATTACAGTGGTGCTGTACACGTACCTTTGTTTTTGTTTTTCTTTTTTTGGTACCAGGGATCGAACTCGGGTCCTTGAGCTCGCACAGCAGGCGGCGAAACCACTGAGCTAAATCCCTGGTCCACCTTTGTTTTATTTTAATATATTCCTCCCCCAAAATCAAACAAACAAAAAGACATTTTTTTCACTTGCTGCTTATTCATAAAATGTTATTTAAATTTAATACTGAAATAGCTTATTTAAAAATAATACATAAAACTTTCATGGTCAATTAATTATAACTGTTTATATGAGGAAAAATATATTCAACTCCTCGAAGTCCATAAAAAAGAGAAATACTACAATGATATGCAGAAATTCTATAATGAACCAAAATGTTTTCACTGAAACACCACAGAAAGGCTGTAAGCCATTATCTCTTGGAAAAGAAGTGGTCCTAATAAAGTAGATTTTTGAAAATTGTCATATGGGTAAGCTCATTAGTTGTAATAAAAGATCCCCCTGCTGATCTAGAAGTACCTAATGACTAGGATTTGTTATATCTCAAAAATAAAGGTACTTTTTAATTCATGTGATATCTTACTGAGGAGATTTCAAATCTGGAAACTTTAAGTGATGATATACAAGAGTGTTGAATTCTCCAAACTAAACACACACTAATTTTATCTAAAACATTACATTTACTCCTCCTAAAATCTCATTCATTAATTGGGTCATGCAATCATAAAAAAAAAATATGCTCAACAATCACCTACACTTGAAAAAGTAATCTCAGTGATGGCTGTTCTATTTCAAATATGAAGCTGGCTGCTCCCAGAGAAACATATTAGTGGTTCTGCTGACCCATCACATACTTGTGGTTCCCCTGGAACAGATGGAAACTAAACCTCCCACATCCCCAGCCTGGCCAGCTGAAACACCAAGAAAAAGACACAGAAGAAACAAATCTCCAAGCTACAAATCTGCAGGACCTTACAAGAGGTAAATCCTTTTAAAAAGCAAAATACCACAATATTTGCACAGAATTTTAAGTAGAATCAAATGAGCTAAGATAGAAAAATATTTCTAAAAGTTCATTTACAGTGAAAATGCTAAAAAATGAATTCTACATTTAAAAAGGGTATTCATAAAATTGTTTTTTGGAGCTAATTAAAATTGTTTCTATAAAATCAAATTAAAATATAATAGAAAACTGGATTTTAAGGTGGTCAAAGATATTTATTTAAACAATCTTATAGCAAAGTGTTAATAATAAATCTTATCTTTTATGATCTTTATAACCTGGTCTAAGGCTGTAGTAAGGACTAGAACCTGGATTATAAATTTGAAAACTAGGAAGTGGTGAACCGAATCTCTGGCAGTCTGGGTCTACATAGACAAAGAAAGGGAACCCAACACCATTAGACATACTTAGAACATAGGCAACGGGGGAACACAGATTGCTGGTTCTGGACTTGGGTACAGAATAGTCACTCAGTGCTTGTGGATGCTGAAGAATCAAGGGAACATCACCATGGCCACAATGAGAGACATTTAACAGTAGAGGAGGAGGCTTAGCAGGCATCCATAAATTAAAGCTACAAAACAATGTGTTTATAAACATAAAGCCTCATTAATGAAATAGATTAAACTCAGCTCTAAACATAATGCATAAAATCAATATTCTTTAATTTTGTATTTTTAAAATGTGATATTCAATATGAAAAATTTAGAACAAAGTGGGGCGTATATACAAAAAAAGCATTATTTTCTGTCTTTTAGAACTGAAGAGCAGAACAATGAAAATTTTTTTTTAAAAGAACAAACCTTTACTAGCTTTGTCTAAATGTCCCAAATCATCCACAAAATTCAGGATATCAGGATACTTTTCTTCACATATTTCTACCAGGAAATGAAGTAGTGTTGTTTTCTGGTCTGCTGATTTTATGTCCTTTAGCTAAACAAATGAGAGAAAAAACAGGAGTATTTTTATATTCTACCTAGTCAAATAATGTTAACACTGTATTTTGTAGATAAGAAACAAGTTGCACAATTAATTAGTTCCATTTATACAAAACAAATAAACAAAAAAAAGCTAATTTCTACTCATTCAGTAAAATCATTGACATGATTTTTTTAAAGTAAAATGTTTGTGTTGATATGACAAATAGTCTAGTAAAACAATCAAAATGCATATATGGTAGGACATTGAGTATTGGCCATCTAAACCGAATGAACCTGTGAACGAAATTGTACAGTCAGGGAAAGGAGGGAGAAAATCTACAAGTACAGTATCACAGGCAGACAGAGCAGCATTTGAAAGAGCGTGCTGTGATTTGGACTTAGTTTGTCCTGTAAGGATTTATGTGTGGCAATGTTGGCATGTGAAATCTCTAAGAGATGGAGCATAGTGAGAGCTCTTTAGGGATGAAAGGACTTCTCCTGCAACTCCTTCGCAATTCTCACAAAAGTTTGTTACGAAAGCCTAAGCCCACCCAATCTCTCCGGTTCCTAGTCCAGGATGGATGTGATCACTAGCTCCAGCACATATTTCTGGGGTTGCCATTTGCCATGCTGGTATGCAGCCAAGACTACCCTCATCAGAGCAAGCCTAGGCAAATACCATAGCTTTGAACTTCTAAAAATGTGAGCTAAAAACCTCTTTTCTTATGAATTAGCCATCTCAAGTATTTTGTCATAGTTAACAAAAAATTGACTAAAACACAACTATAGATGAAGAAGAATACAGAGTATATTGGAGCAGGCTAAATGATTCCTAAATAAAAGTGTGCATGTGTAGGAAAAGGAAGGCAGAGTGAAAAGAAAGATACAAATCTGAAAAGACCAAGAAAATAAGAGGAAAGGTATGTCATGCAATGGAAATTAGGCTTTGAATCTGAAGCACTGCAAGTTTCTAACACTGGATGAGAGATGATTAGATATACATTTTAGAAAGCTCCCTCTGGTGCACTGTGGATAAAAGATTAGAGTAAAAGTAATGACAGAAGCATGAAGAGTAATTTACAAAACCATGGCAATAATTCAGGCAAGGATACAAGGCAGCCTGAACTGAAGTTGTGCCTTGGGAGTGGAGAGAAGGGAACCAAGTGGGCCTGGAAACCCAGGTGACTCCATTAATTGAAACAGATCAGAAAAGATGAGAAACAAAGTTTGGTGGAATAGGCAACAACATACTTGCTTCAGTTTTGAAAAAAAAAATGAATGTAAAGCTTTTGAGTAGTATTCAAGTGAAACTGTCTTGAAAGTACATAGATTTACATAGGTGTTTCTGAGCAATTTTTCATTAATGCCCCCTAAAGAGCCTTTTAGCAGTTTTTCCTAATTATCTATATATACCTGGGAAATTTTAAACCACAAGGGTACTACTTTTAAAATTAATGTACTATATGTAAATCTATGCTTTGTGAATAAAACCAGTGACATTAGATATTTTACTCCCACAATACCAACTTTCTAATCTTTGAGCATAGTAGTCCTGCTGACAATACATGGCTAGACCTTAGAGAAATAAAATGATCTTGGAGCACCAAGAAGTCTCTGTTGCAAAAGTCAGTTATTTGAGCAAATGAACCTAGAGAGTTATATAGAATTTTTAAAAATGGGTACACACTTGAGAAGATCATAGTTGACCAGTCCTAATCTAAAATGGCCAAGAAATGCAATCAGAAGGGAGAGGTAAACACTGAATAGAAGTTATCTTGGTTTTTGTGTGGTGACTAATGGTAGGGACTGATGGACAGGGATAGTAGACTAATGGATGACCCAGCAGTGTCCCTAACACTGAATAATCATTCAGGACAAGCACACATTAAAATAAACCAATCTCGCCCTTCCTAACAGAATTAAATTCAAAGATGGAAATTTTTGCCATGGCTAACCTGTTCCACTTTATTTACTTGCTTCCTCTCCAACAATTTCCCACTTTAAAATGGGTATGTATAAATGTACATGCTACATCACTTTAAATATATCACTCAGAAAAATATTAAAAAATAGTTAACATTAGATAGTGGAAGAATAAGATTCTGTGTCATCTCACACATTATTAACATACTGATTGAAAAGCTACCATAGTGCTCCAAACATTGAGCTACCCATCTCACAGGTTGACTTTCACATGATTACACACGTGATACATTCAAATGTGACATGTGCCTACTCAACACATAACTCCAAGAATAGTTCCTGGGCTGGGGATGCAGATCAGGGGTAGAGTTCTTGTGCATGTGAGAAGTTCTGGGGCTGATCTCCACCAACACAAAAAAAGAATGTCTACTGGAATTTTATAAACATGCTTAATATGAAGACTTAGTCTATTACTCGATACCCTGTTTAGAAGGAGCATAGATCTTATAAAATCCACCTGAGTGTTTCAAAGAGTCCTTCAAAAATAATGGCTCCATTATAGCTAGACAAATTGACACTAACATGTGTAGAAACAGTAATGTTAAACATCCCCTTAAGAAGCTTATATCCCTAGGCAAGTTATTGATCTTAGTTTTGACACAGGTAGGGTAAGAGAACAGAATTTAGATGGCAACTCTCAATTCACTTTCAAATCCAAAAAATATTACTTATACATTAGAGTAGATCTAAGTGTATGGAGACATAAAAAAATCTAATAACAACTAGAATAAAAATGAAGAAACAGTTATACTCTAACTTCAGAAGTTATATTTTGCATTGTTAGGTCACTTAAAATTTTTTTATGGGTTTTGATGCTTACATGTTAACCTGGAAGCTTAATCTGATTTGTAAATTTTCTTACAAGTGTATGATTTCATTTTTACTACCATTTTAGATGAGGCCAGCTAAGAAACGTTCATAAATATACCAGACAGAGCATAAAAGCTGTCTTTTTTTTGTTAAAGAGCACTGTAAGAGCAAAGTTCCTTTCTGTTTTCACCCTTTAAGTCAGTGACAACCTGGGGATCTCAGAACCCACTGTCACCAGTCTACACCCTTCCTCATGATATTCCTTTCATGAGAAAGTAGATGAAAGTCTTGTGTGCAGTATTAAGACAAGCACATCTACCGGTATAATTGTAGAATGGAAAAAAGCTGTCCAGAAATATCTGTGATATAGCTAAATAGGCAGCAACTACTGGGACCTATATATCTAGGAATCTCTATGATAAAACAAAAATCAATTGGATCAACTGCAATCTTTATTCATAGCAATAAGAATTCAAAATTAGGACTCTGGAACACAGTATAGTTTGCAGCAACTACCAGTTTAATAAATGTTAGGCTCTTAGGTCAAACACAGATCCAAGTTATTCAGAGACAATATAAAGCCAAGACTAATTTAAGGAGGGAATGCTGTCATGGGCTACTGAATTGAAACCATCAACTTAGGAGCAAGCCACATATTGCTAATGGTCTAACATTAAAAAGTACACTCACTGAATACAAAATGGAAGCACAATTCCCTCGTCATTCCTAACTATATTTATAATCGCTCAAACTCCAAATAAATTAGAAACTAAGCTTAACAAAAATGAAATGTTCAAATAAGAAGCACTTTGCTGATAATGCACTGTGTCTCATTTACAAGTTAATCTGCAGCTCTAAATCTCAGGGCACAGATTCTTCATTTATGTTCTAACATTCTCACGAAAAACTTCACAATGCTCCCAAAGTATTCTTCTGGCCTCAGTTACTCTACTCTCTTCCTTCCTCCCTTTAAGGCATTAAACAAAAAGGTAAAAAAAGAAAGCATTTCAAAAGTATAAAAGCACATCAAAATATATTTGCCCAAGACTTTTTCACTTCATTGATAGGCAGTAACAACTAAAAGAAGCACATTCTATTTTTATTAATCACTCACACCAAAATCAGTGACTAAGCTAGAAAAAGTAAAGCTTGGATAAAACAGTTAATTTTGTTAAAGTGAAGAACTTAAGCACACTTTGTAAGGCTAGCCCTTGGAAAGAAAATAAGACTATAAATTATTTACTCTAAAAATTTGTTCAGGTTAAAAAATATGCTTTATTTAAATTTTAACAGACATTGCTTGACAGGATTCCTTTTGTATTATTGTCACGAGATTTATCTGACTGATGAGTAATTATCACTGTTAAACACAATTTCTCATTCATGTATTGTTTCTTTAAGGACTTTTAATGTGGCTTAAGTGTCAAATAAACAATAAGATGGATGGAGTTTCTCCAACCACTCTGTTCATTCCAGACAAAATAATGTTAAAAGCAGATCCTGTAATAAATCATGGCCTACTTGTCAGTCTGGAGTAAAACTCCCTTGTAGCTACAATACAAGGTTTGGGAATATTTTTAAGACATTCAGCATAAATTCAGATTACACTTAAAGAATACTCTATTGTTTTAATCACAAGGAAGAGAATTCTTCAAGTAAAAACTAAGTAACCTCTTGGTGATCCTCAAAATTCAAAGAACTGTAACTCTTTAGTCTTTGAATAATGAGGCCTATATCTTAACAATATTGTCAAATTAGTAACTCTCCTCCCCATTATGTTCCTACAATCTAAGTATGTATAGAGAGAACTGTCTCTTTTAGATTTTATAGAAGTTGCAGAATACCAAAAACATGACAAAATCCTAGGAACTTTCTAATGGCCCTATAAATAGTACAGAATATCCAAACCTGTAATACTGATGCTGAGGATAATATCTTATTTACTGATTTCTATGGGACAAAGACTAGCCAAATAATATAGCATGTGTTAAGTACTTAAAACTCACAAGATCCCTATGAGGAAGGAACTAGGAGATACCCATTGCATAAAGGAGAAGACACATTTAGAGAGGTCATGCAGCTTACCCAGGATCACATACCTACTATCGGGTAGAACATGGTTTGAATCCAAGTCTATGTGAAGACAAAGCTCTTAATCACCATAAATTATAGTTCCTCTACAAAACCTTTATTTAGCCTAACCTTTTAATATTCAAAGAA